GAACGAGAGCCCCCTAACTTTCACAGTAGTGACGGCGTCGAGGAAACCACTTGGGATTACGGCACCCGGCTTCCAGACGAGTGGACCCGAGCTCTGGTAGCGAACACGCCTGGGACGCAACATGTTCCACTGTTCCGATGGGTGGATGCGGGTATGCCGCCACCACCTCCGGCACCCCTCTCACCGCCGCCGCCACCACCGCCACCACCGCCCGGCCCTCCACCGCGGCCAATAGTGGTCATCCCCAAGTCGCCGACCAGCTATGTATCATCGCCAAACGACGGCAACGATCAAGGGCCATTTTCATTCAGCACACCCCACAGGACAGGAGACGAGGATGATGAGTCTGAGGGGACGCCGCTGCTTGGTTCCGCCGGCATTGCCTCACGGTCTGGCTTCTCCACTAGGACAGCAGCCCAGGTGCGTCGCGCTGCATCTTCCATCCCGGTTGTAGCACACCCACGTGCTGCCTGTAGTCCTAGGTGGGCCTTGTTAGGATTGAATCACCTGGGTTGGGGAGCAGGGGATCAGAACGGATTACCGGTGTTCAACCCTAAGGCCCGTATTTGTGGCGACAAATACGGTTATAGGCCAGGAGTGTCCGTCATGTGAGGGCGGGATGGCTCAGGTCAAGATCAATCCTTTCAAATTTATTGGGTGGAAACAGGACACGTTTTCTACAGACAGTTTTGTTCGATCATGGTGTCCGTAGGCTACTCCGCCGCCGCCGCCAGGGCCGCCGCCGCCGCCTCCCATAACGGTCGTCGTGACGAATCGAGCTTCGCCGAATGCGCCGCCACCGCCAGGGCCGCCGCCGCCGCCTCCTATAACGGTTGTCACGGCGAATCAGAGCTTCGCCGAGTGCGCCGCCACCGCCAGGACCGCCTCCGCCGCCAGCCATAACGGTCGTCGTGACGAATCGAGCTTCGCCGAGTGCACCGCCACCGCCAGGGCCGCCCCCGCCGCCGCCCATAACGGTTGTCGTGGCGAATCGGGCTTCGCCGAGTGCACCGCCACCGCCAGGGCCGCCGCCGCCGCCACCCATAACGGTTGCCGTGGCGAATCGAGCTTCGCCGAGTGCGCCGCCACCGCCAGGGCCGCCGCCGCCGCCACCCATAACGGTTGCCGTGGCGAATCGAGCTTCGCCGAGTGCGCCGCCGCCGCCAGGACCGCCGCCGCCGCCTCCCATAACGGTCGTCGTGACGAATCGAGCTTCGCCGAATGCGCCGCCACCGCCAGGGCCGCCGCCGCCGCCTCCTATAACGGTTGTCACGGCGAATCAGGCTTCGCCGAGTGCGCCGCCACCGCCAGGACCGCCTCCGCCGCCACCCATAACGGTCGTCGTGACGAATCGAGCTTCGCCGAGTGCACCGCCACCGCCAGGGCCGCCCCCGCCGCCTCCCATAACGGTTGTCGTGACGAATCGGGCTTCGCCGAGTGCACCGCCACCGCCAGGGCCGCCGCCGCCGCCACCCATAACGGTTGCCGTGGCGAATCGAGCTTCGCCGAGTGCGCCGCCACCGCCAGGGCCGCCGCCGCCGCCACCCATAACGGTTGCCGTGGCGAATCGAGCTTCGCCGAGTGCGCCGCCACCACCAGGGCCGCCACCACCGCCGCCGGTGGCTGTGGTGAACAGGGCCGCGGCCCCAGTGCCCCTCGGGGCGCCGCCTCCCCTTGCTCTCGCCGGCGTTGCACGTGCGTCCGAGCCGCCTGCGCCGTCCTCACAACCAGTGAACCCAGATCCTCGGAGCCAAACTTCAGGAGCATCGGCGACCGAGGGCTCCACCAGTGCACGTCAAAGCAGCGGCGGAGCGCCGGTGTGCTCAGCAGGTGTTGGGCCAGCGGCGGTGTCAGGGCTAAGTATGCAGCCGGGCGGGCCTGGCAGCACCTGTGCCGACGGTGGAGCTATGGCCTTGGGGGTTGCAGGTGCGCGTAGTGACGGCGATCAGCACCTTGCTGCGGAGGTGGCTGAGGAATACGTGTCAGCGCTTCTTGACCTGCTGGATATGGAGAATGACAAGTTCGACCAGGACCTGGTGCTGCATGTGGTCAAATTCATTAGCGTGGTGCTGGTCAGCCCCGAGGTAAGCAGGCCGGCTAAGGGGCCTCCAAGAGGGGGATTAAAGGGGAAGCCTGCGCGGCATTCCTCGGCGCTATCCTCCTCACCTGGGCCATTAGCAGCGGCAGCAGCATTTCCCCCTGTTGTACACGTGTTGAACGTGTTTCGTGTTGTATGTGGGGGGGGTCACATCACCGTCAGCGAAAGCTGCAGCGAACTACTCTAGAGGAGGGTGCATGCAGTCCAACAGCTGAGCTGCAGTCCGGTCGGCCTCATCGTAGCACCGGCTGCTAATGGGGGAGGAGCGGCTGGAAAAGACACATACAAGGAG